AAAAGTCCTGATATAAAATTTATATAAAATATAAATTACCAGATATAAATTATATCAGGTAGCAATATATCTTTGATACAGACCACAGAGCTCCACTGATTAATTCCTTTTAAGCAGCAACAGAAGTTTCTGTGTGCTCTTTTCCTAAATTATTGCAGCTCCAATTTAAACGAGCTAAGGCATATCCTTTTACCTCTTCATATTGAAGGTCACTACATCCACTACTTCTGCCAGAATACACGCCATCACATTTCAAAGACATTTGTTCTTGGCATTGTTCAAACTGTTGTATTGTTTTATAAACAATACCAATCATAATCACTTCTTGGTGAAGAGCTGTAAAACTGTAGCTTGGATACCAGTAAAACATTTGCTAAAGCATTACAGATCATGCAAACATCTCAGCAGGATAAGCTACCTTTACCTTACATTACTGCATTTAAACTGCATGACACATATGTTTTTAAGAAGCTTGGGTGTTTCGTAAGATTCAGGGGGTGAATGATTCTCAAACCAGCTGTCTCAATTTTCACCCCAAAGAAAGGAGTTCAAAAATCTACTTGCAAATTGCATCTGTACACACATATTGCATGTAAAGGGAGGGCATCACCAGCAGTTACAGATGAATAAACACAGAGTAGAGGTAACAGAAACAAATCTAATTTTTTAGGAAGGAGAAAGTAGGTACATAAAAACAAAAAATGTGACCACAAGTGGGTAAGGAGCTATGCAAGCAGCTTACTTCCCACCAGGCCTATAAAGTGTAGCACTCCCAAAACAGAAGTTGGTTGAAGTCCTATGGCCAACTTCTCTGCAGAGAAAGTCGGTCCTTCTGAAACAAGAGAAGAGGTAACTGTCAACTGCATCATATCACTTTCATTTTTCCCATAGGGAAACTAGTAAAAACAATGAAATTTCAAATGTTATTTCAAAGAAGAATTTTGAGCGTTCTCCGGTAAAAGCCAGCAGTAGGCTGAGATGCCTGTTTCAGGAATAATACACATTTTTCAATGTTCCCCACTTTCAAGATCTTTTTTTTTTTTTTCCACAGGTAGCATGAACAATTCCTGACACAGAAGGACGTAAAACAAACCAATAATATAGGCTACTGTCACAGAAGTTATACAGGGTTGGACAGTGGAAAGGAGGTGGTGGAGTCGCCGTCCCTGGAGGTGTTTGGGGAACTTAGATGTGCTAAGGAACATGGTCTATTGGGGTGATGTTGGTGGTAGGTGCACGGTTTAACTGGACAATCTTGAAGATCTATTTCAACCTTCAAGATAATACCATTCTAAGTTGGTATTATAAGAAATGGGGACTTAAGAGTTCTAGAGAATTACGGTCACTTTGTCGTTTGTCGACAGGAATAGCAAAAACCACTGTGTGAAGTTTAAGGAATCCAACTCACACCTGATGGACTATTGTGAATATGACAACACTTGCGAAGGAGGGATTGCAGCCTTTCCTGCTTCTAAATGCTAGTCATGGGTCAGCAGACACACAAGAACAAAGCAGCAATTATTAGAAAACGATGGCCACTAGTGCCCATATTGCATACAATTCTTATTGATTACTACCTCTAAGTAGGCCAAATTAATCCTGACCATAGGCCTCAGTCAGGAATTTGCATTTCCACTCCAATCCTCACACTTAGTACTTCCCTATTTCTGTATTCTACTGTGACACTGATCTACTCTAAGATCATGATTGTACTTAAGTGATTGCTGCTTACAGGCCACTTTGAGATGGGAAGGAAGTAGGAGTACATTACATTTGCAGCGAGCAAACAATTCTTATGTATAAAGAATTATCAGTGATTCTAGCACCCAAGTTTTCTTCTGTTTAAAAACTAGAACAAAAATGACTGGGGAGGTAAGTGATCTACAAAAACCCTACACGCATAAATCATCATCACAAACAGTCTGAGTGTGTATGAAAATTTATGCCCAACCATCCCCCCCCCAAAAAAAACCTGACTATAATTACCCATTTACTAGCTCTTGAATTAGGGCACTTTCATAAAAATACTGCACTTCACCTAATGAAGGCTGTCTGTACTGATGTGAGTCACTAAGCAAGCACTGCAAAAAGTTTTGACAGCCACCCTACCTCCTTCAAGTGGTACTGCCTGAGGCACAAATACTTTTATTTGTGGTACAGGGCTGCCACCTCCTGGCCATTTTGACACATACACTATCAACTACTGAATTAAGAGTATTTTTCATGGAGATAGCAATAAATCTACAAGCTGAAGGATGTTATCTTTAGAATTTCTCTGTTACCAACTGAAAAAAGAATATGCAGTACCACACAAATACTTCATGCCTGACAGGTATAAGTATGTGACAGGCAAGGTCTTCCACGTTTGCCAGAAGTGTCTGAAGTACACCCAACCCTGCTTCTGAAGTTTGACCACAAGCCTCAGAATTCATTTCCTCCCAGCCTGCTTCACTTCCTCAGGTTAACACATCAGAACCCCGAGGACAGAAGCCATTACTTGACCTCAACTACCAGATACAGCTACAAGAAATGAACACATTTTGTAATGGACACATGCTACACATCCCACGCAGATGTTTAGAGATGTTTATTTCAGTAGATTTAAACAATCCATTAGTTCTAAGCCTACCCTCTGATGAAGAACTTTTTTGAGAGTTACCAAATCCTTCTAGCTTTACACAATACCTCACAGTCTGTGCTCTAGAAAATCGCATGTAGGGAAGTCAAGTGAAGAGCCCAAGTCTGAGTAGTCAGAACACTTGACTTGTACAGGATCAGCTCACCAACTGTCCAAAGTTTCATTCCCTGTGAAGTGGCCCAGAAATAAGCAGAGACAGAGTCCCTGGGGAGCCAATGGGACCTATATTTTTAGGGGCAGAAAAGAGATAGGAAGAAGTGGGCTAATACAAGCTTCTGATAGTTCAACATGGCCTACTAAGAGCTAAAAACCCAAAGTTATCAGTGTGGTCTAGCCAATGGAGGGAGAATCACACTCCTCAGACAAGGAGACTGTCAGGATTGCGTACAGAACAAACCTTCACATAGTAAAGCATAGCCCTGAGCATCATTCTTTCCTATGATGCCCATGACAGCTTTTTTTTCCTTCAGAATCCCCACATTCTTAAGGAAAAAGACTGAACAGACTTCTTGAAGTCCACCAAATTTATGGGAATTAAATCTGTACTTCTTGCCAAGGTAACCTAGGTTCAATGCAGCAAGCTGCAAGTTATTACAAAGCCAAGCACTGCGGATATATTCCAGTAGTGATCAAGACAGAATGTCTGCATATCAGACAAGGATAAATATGCAATAAAATACCAGTTTTGCAGTAATAGCTTTTCACCCACTGGCCTTCTACCACTAGATGGCATCTGCATTCTAGATCAATTTTAGCAAACAACTACATCAACTGGTTTGGCTCCTTTACATAATCGCTTTTATATTCTTATATAGCATTAGTATAAACTAGATTGAAGGATGTCTTTTCACCCTAGATGGTAAAGGCAAGGCAAGACAAAATCCTCTAAGACTAGTATACCAGTTTTTTGTTGTTGTACCTTTAGGTAAGAATCCTGAGAAGGAAAGACAGAAGGTACTTTCTTTTCATCCTATCTTCAACAGGATGGAGCATCTGGTCTTACAGACCATTCTCTTCGTAAGATCTGATTTTCAAGATATCTGGTTAAATTAAGGTAATCAAGATGTCCATAATTCTCTTAATGTATTCCCTTCCCAGCATTTCACAGAAATTATGCATCCTCTCTCTGTGGGAGTTACACTAAGGAATAGTGAGCCGAAGGATATATACAGAAAATATACTGAGGGTAACTGAAACTTGCTGATTTATAGATGCCCAGAAATTCAAGCTGGCTAACTGCAGAAATGCTGCTAGGAAGTATCCAGGGGGAACAATGTGAAATTCTTGTAAGTACTTCATTACAGTTTGCTGGGACTTCAAAGCAAAATGATGGAAAAAACATTACACTGGAAAATATTTACTTTCCAAGGTTAACATCTTTTGCATTTTAGCAAGGTTGTGTGCTCCTCTGCTTTACATCATGAGCTGCACCACTTCGTTCACAACATACCTTTTCTCCCTAGCTAACCATTCTAGAGCGTTCTCTTGCACCCCTTAAAGCAACATGAGCAGGTAGTACTATCAAAATGAGAAAAAAAATCACCAACTTAATTATTCTGCTCTTTGCAAACATAATTTACTTTTCTTTTTTTAATAAGCTACCTGTAAGACTAGAAAACAAATCCTGCCTATTTGCTTTCCTTCCTGTATTTGACAGTAACTCAGATGAAGTTAGAACACTGAAACTTACTATCCAGGCACATCTATCATATTTCAACAGGATTTTCAAGTGATGCTTGTTTCTAGAGCTCTCCATAGGAACACTGTCCTATTCCAGTCTTTAAGAAAACTAACCTCCACCTGAAGATACAGAATAGCTTTTGCTGATTTTTATATATATATATATTTTTTTCCAGCAGCTGGAACTAGTTCACACCTGCTTTCTCATAAGGCTGCTCCCAAAATCAGAGTTTGCAGTAAGCTAAACATGAAGCTTTATCTGCAGGTAATTGTTAAAACAGCAGAAAAGCAGCAGGAAAGGGAATGTGCTAGGCCACAGACATTGCTTCAAGACAGAAACAAGAGTCTTCCTTAGAAAAGATTACTCTAATTACATATTGGCAAGGGCTTCTGGAACACGTATTTTGAACTACTGTTTCATCCTCATATCCTGGGACATACCGACACAGGAATAAATTTGGTGGAGAACAGAATGAAACTTTGTCCTTGATAACAATTAACATGTTAAAATAAGTAACATTAATAACACCTCAACAAGGCACGCCGAGGTACAGAACAAGTAACCAGACAGCTTTGTACATCTCCCAGTGACTTGAGGTGTCTTCAAAATGATGCTCAAGCACTGCCAGTTCCAGAAATCCATGGCAGATGAGAACCTAGCAGAGCCATTATAAACACTTACCCTCATTTACAGCTTGTTATTTACTGTCCCAACACTGACTGTCATGTGGTTTTACAGTGTTCAGTCCAGTATGTTTTGAGGTTCCTTCAGCAGTGATCATCAGATACAAGCTGTAAGAATGCTTGGGTATAAACTCAAAAGTTATACATGCAGCCACCTGGTTAAGATACTGTCATCAAAATCTTGGTCAGCTTTTGCAATAAAGCAAACAAATTCAGTTTATAAGATAAGTGTACAGACACATTGAGAGTATGTTTGAAAATCGCTACTGCTAATTAACAGAAGCAAACCAATTACAGCAGAGAAAAAGGTATCCAGGATTATGCCTTGACATTTCAAGCTTGGCATTGATTCTTCGAGCTGTTTTTTTCCCTACCGATAAGGAGGACTGAGTACAGTATTCAGTTCTTCTAACAGTCCGGACTCTTCAGAGATGCAAAAAGTAGAATTTCAGTGTGTTCCAAAACATGAACTTGAGCTCAATTCTGACTTGCATAAGAGAACTACACATCCCTGTAATGCATATTAGCCCGTGTTGACTCAGACATCCAACATGTTGTGCTGTAGTTACCTCTGCTCTCTTGCCCTTGACTTCTCACCAATCTACTTGAAGCTCAATGCTCATATTTATCCCCATAAAAATGAGACATGCCAAATGCAAGTCAAGTTACAATTCATGCAATTTGAAAGCAACACAACACAGACAGTATCATTTTGCTTCTGTGCTTTGCTAAGCTGTAATGCTACCTGCCAAGTCTATATAAGATGTCTTTCTCTTCCACAAACATGGCAGCAAGGAACACTCTAGACACACCAGCCACAGATATAACACTAACAGTTTGTGAAGCAGAAGTGAAACACCAGTAATAAAGGCCAGGCTTTTACAACTACTAGCTATGTAAGCCTCTACAGAGGGTACCCTTTTTTGTTAACCTTTGAGCTTTACACCAAAGGCTAAGCACAGGATATTTGTGTTCAGAATATCTGAATTCTAGAATTCCAGCTATCCAAAACTGAGTAGCAGAAATGTCATTTAAATATATTTCCATTATTACAGAAATAAAAATGTGTCTATCAGCCTTTAGATACCGACTGGCTCCAGTAATTTCAGCTCACAGCTTGCACAGTCGGATGGGGCCTTGGGCAGCCCAGTCTAGTATTAAATGTTGGTGGCCCTGTCTGTAGCTGGGGGGGGGAGGGAGGTTTGGAGATTCATGATCCTTGAGGTCCCTTCCAACCTTGGCCATTCTGTGATCCCGTGATAGCAATATCCTCACAGACTTACATAAGGCAAGACACAAACAGGATCTCTTCTTATAAAGAGCATCTTACTGCTCATCAGCTCCCATTTCTATTATTTGGTAGTAATGCAGCATACAACTCCACAGTCCCTAGCAATTCTCAGTGTCAACTACACGGACAAGCAGGATCTTTATCTTAAAACAACCTTTAAACAGGGGTGTAGCATACTAACAGTAACTTTCTTCCTCAAGTCTGAATACTTTCCAGACATAGTTTCCAGAAAAATAAGAAAAAAAGCCAATGCACTGATACCACAAATATACCTACTAAGAGAACGTCCTCCTGTGACTTCCCAGATCACTGATGTTGCTCTACTAAGCAGCACGTTAGAACTGTACATATGATGCTTACGTGGAAAAAGACGCCCAGCAATTAGTCCATCAGCAATTTCCATGGAACTGTTTTTTTGAGTCCACATTGTTAGGGCAGTCTGAGCCTCCTGGACATTGATCAAGGTAATTAAAAGTTGCAGACAGCAGGGAAATTTCTTACTTCTTTCCCAGCCCCCAACTCAACAATCCCAACTACCTTTGCTCTATACCCTAGAGAATATTCATGCAAGAGAAGTTCCCACTGAAGGCACAAGATTGTTTCTCTAGCTTGCAGACAAAGCAATTGCAGACCCTATTTCTGAAAACATCAATCTTTAAAAAGCATCTCATTGTACTGAACTCTTGAATTTATGAGCAATACTCATTTCACCCTGAATAGACTTTAAAAATACTGTCAGCTGGAATGCTGCCCAAGGAATGGGCTATGCCACTCAAAAGCAGCCCTCGCTCTCACCCCCAGCTTTCTGGTCAGTTCCCTTCTGGCATAACTTGCTGACTGTTTCATACCTCAAAGGCTCCGTATGATCAGAAAACAAGATCTCACTGATACTTCACGACAGCTGACAGTAAAACATTTTCATGAGCTGTTTACTTGTACCAACAGTATCACAGCATCAGTGTTTTCCATTATAGTCTCTTCCTGTAACAAGAATTATACTGTTAGTTTACTCACTAGTATATATGCTATTAGTCAGTATTATGTAGCGTTAATAAGCCATTCATCACTTTTTTGGACTTTCAAAGGGATTACAGAAGTGACTAAGATCCATGTTTGTCCAGTATTGTCTCTCTCTTGAAACTCAAGCCCCCAAATCTTTGACAGTTCCGAAGACCAGAAACTGGCTCAGGTATTGCTTCAAAATATCACTGCTATACTTTGAAGCACAGTATTTTAAGTCAAACTTGCCAATCACATCTTACATCACATCTTAATTCCAGTAAGAACTGCGTATGCTGTTCTTAGTTGCTGATTCGACATGATTCAATTAAATACCTGAAGTTATAAGGAGCTCCTGGCTTCTGGGCTGTCTCAATTATTTCGAAGAACATAATTTCAGGCCCTCATTTCCAGAATAAAATTATTTTTACAGTTGTAAAAATGCTCAAGATCTACATGAGCAATGCACATGAAAGCAGAAATAGGATTGTAAGTTTTGTTCTGATGTTCCTGACTTGCTTCCAGTATGGAAACCTCAACCCTATCTGTAATGATCAACATATTAAATCCTGTAAGTTTTCTCTCCACACAGACTGAAAGATGTCAGCAGACATCCCAGGCATATGGTGTGGAAAAAGCATTCAAACTCTTGGCCAGTGATTGCTAGCATATAAAGCAAGCAATTCTTCCAAGATAATACCTCTAGATAAGGTAACAGTTTAACAAGATAAGTATTTCTTATTTCTTTAGGATACTTAAGAAGAAAATTATACAGCACAGATGCTGCTGCAAGAGGAACAAGTGAGCATGTCAGGTACTCACATAAATGGAGCCATATATACCTAGTCTTTTCATGATACAGAAGATATTACTCCAGAAACTAAGGAAAAAGACAGAAAAGTCAATTCAGTTGATGGGTAACGTTCTGGAAAAATGCTGGCAAAAAAAAGCATTTTCAAAACTTGCAAACCTGAATCTCAAGTAAGCAATGACTTCAGAGCATGAAGTTACCTCATCAAGGCTTAAGGAACAGATCTGAATTACCTCATCACACACCAACACTGCATTCACTCACTCTCCTGTCATCAGTGACTTTCAAAAGAAACGTCTGAGCAGTATTGCATGTAATCTACCTCTATATTTTATACTGCATTAAACCGGTGCTTGCTTCAAAACACGGTAACTTAAACTACTGTTCAATAACAGACCAATCCAATATACATCAGCAATGTGTATGTTGCATTAAAAAAAAATTCCACACTTGAGAGCAAATAGTAGTAAAATAACCAGACAGACTTCATTCAAATGAATTAGACAACTTTTACTAAATGAAAAAACTACATTTAAAATATGCATTTAAAACAAAAATGGAATTAGAAAAGACTTAAATCCATTTTGAAGAACTTGCTCACTGTGTCAGAAAGCAATATAACTCTTGCATTATATAATGTGCCAGTTCATAAAATGCAAGTTACCAGAATTCTCAATTTAACGTTTTCAAAGACAATACTGAAGTCGAGATTTTCACATCTACTGATGCACACTTAGAATGGTATAAATCTGAAGCCTTCCCCCAAAGAATCTTACAAATTCAACAATATTCAGTAAAAGCTTTTGTGTTTATATCCAATAAGTATTGCATCCTAAAGCATCACAGATCCGTGCCTTTCGTTTCTCTCTCTATACTTTGTATCTTTTCTATATCTTGCCATTTACCAATGTTTACCCCTTTGAGAAAGGAGAGAACTGAAAAGAAATACTGCATAACTCTCAATCATGTACAGAAATTATTGCTACTATAGTACACTACAAAGCAGAAGTCTATACAATAGTATATGAAATTTGATCATGAAAATCCAAAGGATAAAATCTTGAGTGACATAAGCCTTACAATCATGTTGGACATTCATTTAGCAGTTTTAGCTCACTACTAGTAAGCTGGCCTATTGTCCATTGGTGAACATCCATTTAAATACACCCTCTTATGAAAAAGAATGTCAGCTTTCAAAGGCTTAGCAAATAAGGATCTTCATGTTCTGTGGAACTACGTAAAATGAATTCTGATACAGGTAGGGAGTTACCAGTTACCTGGAAGCTAAGCATGCCAAAGGTGTTTCATGCTAATAAAACTAAAGCCAAGGTACCACATAATCAAGTTACCAACTAATAGGCAATACCATTTTTGTCCTAAGTTAAATGATGTGCCATAGCACAGTGTAATGTCAATAATTTAAAACAGCGTAGTGTACAAATTAATTGTGTGGCAGTTTAAGTTAAAAAGTCAAGGCAGGTTTTCCTATCTCAACTTACGTTGGCTGTCAAGCTGTCCAGTCTGGGCATGTCGGTAATAATTTGCCTTTTAATCACTACCATACTCTCAACCTTGCATTATAATGGGGCACATATTCGAGCGGCACTACTATGAATAACATGAGGATAGAGGGAGGATAAGAGATCAACAGATCTTCTAATTCCTTTCCATATTTCAATTTCAAAGAGAGCCAGGGAATATGACCAGATACCATATTCGCATCATTCTAGCTACAAAATAACCAAAGTAAAAGCAATCAAGCAACAATAAGACCACATTACACAAATGGAACATCATGCTCTCATCTGGTTTAACTATCACATCAAGTTTTAACTGGGATGTTGGTCAACTTTAAAAACTGTGGTAAGTGTGAATATGCAGTTGCAATAGGTTTTTTAATTTTTAATTTTATTTTTTACTCTATGCTGGATATTAGAAGTTGGAGCTATACTTGTTACAATACAGTGTCGCACATCTTTCTACTAGAAAAATTAATAAAGATCCTTTACCCGTCTCTTTAAGTTAAACGTGTGACATCATAAAGGGTGTCAAATGGCTGGATGGTTTTACAGTGCACACTTATTATATACTGTAATATGGAGTTTTGTCCTTGACAGATCTGATGGTTTTTCTACATTATTCCTTTCTTCACCTCTTCTTCGGTGGATTAGCTGTGCGAGGTGGAGTGACTGGACGCCCAGAATTCAGTCCACCATACTGGTACTTGGCTTTCTTTTCAGATGGCTTCAATATCTTAGAGAAAATAAAGAAGTTCTTTTGAGTCAGTGACAGCTGAGAACATTTCAAATACCCTTAAGTCAATGTGAGGCCTCATTCAGAAAGAACAGGGTGGGGGAGGAGTAGAAATCATAACATGACCGTACAAGTTCCTGAATCCTACAGACAACAGCACTAAGAAAACTGTTTCTAACCTCTAGTTCCACCATTTTACTGTGGTGGAAGGGAAAAAAGAAAAGGAGCTCAAAATATCGCATCCAAGGAGGAGTAAGGAATAAAATTCGAGCAGAATAACCGCACTAAATGAGTGCCATCCACCCAATCGTGGATGATAAACAAATTACTCAAATAACACTGAAATGAGCATGGAAACAGAGGCAACAACAAATACTAACACCTCACACACAGTCCAACACTTAAAGGAACACTGAATGTACAAATGCATCATACCTGAAAGGAACACATCAGAGTTTCGTCCACACTCATCATGCCACCTGCATTGTCAAACTCTCCACAATAATTTGGAGCTGAGAATAAGGTGACCAACTGCCGTTTAGCAAAGAATTCATATCCATCTTCAACCACCTGTCAACATCAGAAAAATTAATATAGCTCACAAAAACCAAAAGATGCATTTGGAAGAAAAAGGCAACTTATAAGGCAAACAGTCCTTCTACTGAAGACACAAGAATTCAGCAAAAATGTATTTTATCTCTGTCTTTAAAGAGGACAGATTCACTCTATCTGAACAGTGAGTGCCAAATCAAGTAGATTTAACTGTCTGACTATCCTAATATTAGATATGCATCAGTTTCACTGTTGATATCATTGTACTTGGAAGTCAGTTTACACACTGTCAGTTTAAGGAATTCCAGTGTTTTGTTTATATGCAAACTTGGATACATTTGACCTACGGGCTCAGAGCACAAAAGGTCCACATATCATCTTAACTGCAACGGTAACCATGAACTTTCACTTGCAGTACAGTGATGGTCCTACAAAACTTCAGAGTAGCCAAGTACAGGCTTTTGACAACTTTGATGGTTTAAAAGCAAGCTGGTTCTGCTGCGCTTTCTCTAAGAGCACAAAACACTCTTAAAATACTGCAAAGCAGCACAATACATCAGCTAAGGATATTCCCACTTCCCTAGAATAGAACCTTAACATAATAGACTGAAAGTGATGCACAACAGAAAACTGCAGACTTCAGTCGAACACCAGTCTTTTGAAAGATGTCATACTTTTATAAAGAGCTGAAGCATCTGTATGAATACAAAGATACTAATGGTAATCACTGTGCAGTTGAGACATCTTAGCAACTGTTCTACACACTAATATTTTCAATTGTTTTTAGCAGTAAAACCCTAAGAATGCAAGTGTTCTGACAGAGCATTTGAGTTTAACTAACAAAATTAAAAACCTATTTTTCCTTCACAGGATGCCAGAGCTTTTAAGATCAACTAAATAATAAAACTGGAACATTACACACAAAACTGAAACCCAATGCCCACCTAAGCAGGACATTTGCTTAAAATCACTTCCTAAAAATTGCAAACAAATAGCCTAAAGATTGTCCATGCCTAAACCAGTTCTGTTTTCTGCGTATTTCAGCAAGTAAAACAAGCCTATGCCAAAGTACTCTATAACTAAATTGAAGGCAAAGTTTATGTCCAGACCTGTTTGTAGAAATGTTCAAGAATTACTAAATACCTTCATAAAGACAAGCAGAGATAGTTATCTAGTAGCTGTGGCTTAAAGCATGTAATACTGAAGTAAATTCAGTAATGCAGAACTCAAACTTGTGTCATTCTCAAATTTACTTTGCCACTTCTAAACTACATATTTCACCTCTAGTATTAACATACAGTAGTTTAACAGTAAGCAGATGAGACACAGATCTGAGGAAATCTAATGTTAACATTTTACTTAATTGACATGAGATAGTCACTTCAGTGAGCAAACAAGATGCAGACTTACAGTTCCTTTATTAGGAACATTTTGTTTTTCCTAGAAGTAAAGCAATACAAAATAAGTTTAAATACATGCTACACATAACCAATATCAAACACACACGAAGTCTAGAAGTTTTAAGCAGTAACAGAATCATTCCTACCTGGTGAGCTCGACAGATCAAATCCAAATCGTGACGATTCAGAAATTTACTGACCACATCAGCACCAAAAGTGAAAGAGACCCCGCGATCATTCTCACCCCAACCTTGCACATCTTTGTCTGGGTCAGACCACAGCAGGTCACATAGTAAGCCTTTGAAAAATAACGCAAGTGAAGATATTAGTCTTAAGAGGGCAAACACAAGTAAAATAGATTTACTGTAATCGCCAGAGCAGCTTTCCTAGAAAACAAAACACACCCTAGCAACAAATTCAGCAATATCTGAATTTTGACTCAGGCAAGATGGTCTGCCCAAGTCTGGAGAATACAGCAAGGTTTTTTTTTCCTTTAAAAATGATGGTACCTTGAGATGAAAAAATCAAAACCAAAGAACTCTGAAATAATATTTACTTGTAACATTCAGCATATTTACACAGAGCATTTGAGGAATTTAAAAAACAATGCAGAGCAGCAAATTTTCAAAGGCAACCACCAACTTCACAGCTTGCCAAGCAGCTGAGTTTGACAGACACACTGAACTGTCGAATCCTATGCAGGACCAGTCAGAAAAAACAACAGAAATTTGTACCAGAAACTTCTGAACATGAAACCTTTCTTACCATACATGAAGAACCTTGACTGACTAAATCAAAACTTAATTTCATTTTCAGCATGGTTGAACCGCCATGATTTTTTTAAGAAGTCTCATGCCAAACAGTTTGGAACCTAAATTCAAGTAATTAAATCTTTATTATTTTAACATTGGTGAATGCCTTTTCCCAGCTGCCAACAAGAGGTCAACTAACACTGGAGTTAAATTTTGTGCTAAAGATGATCCTTTAGTCCAGTTGCAACGCCTCAGGCCAATAAGCTGCAATACAAACAAACCAAAAAGCATTCAAACTTTATCTCAATTGACATGAAACTGTACTCTCTCTGCCTCTGATGACTAACCCTTAAGTATTTAAGCAATTAAGTGCACTGTTTCACAACCAAAAGTAGGAATCAGCTGGCTTTGCTACCAAGAGTTCAAAATTTGATTTCAGTGTAAGCCAGGTTATAAGCTACACAAAATATTGAAGACATTCTTCTTTACAAAGCAAGATCTGCAAGTTATAATCAAGCACAGCTATCGATAGAAATAGTGCTACTATTTTATTTTCATATCCAGCTATCAAGTTGGTCTTTGGCGACACAGAGACATCTTTAACAGAGACCAGCACTTTGCTTTTAGAAAACAACTCCAAGTATGAACAACTGCCTTTTAAATCAGGTATCTACCTCAAAACAATCTGCTGAATACAGACTGCATTTTAAAATGATTTTACTGAAATTTAGTCCTATGCTGAATATGTTTTTCACAAGTTTCACTGCAGCACCTGCTGTTTTCTTAGCTGGGATTTCCAACAAGTGGCAGAAGCTGCCAGTCTGAACTACTTAGAAGTACTTCCTTTTCTACTGCCCCACCAAGATACCAATCTTCACAGTCACACACAGAAAAATACAAATCTGTCCTATAATCTTTAATAGCTGTGTAACAGAATCCTGCAAAAAGTTAGTCTCACATATACAACTGAACTATGCCAGTCAGATGAGTTTATTTTTAATAGCAATACCTACCATTACAATAGCTTAGGCTGACTGGAAGAATGTAACACAGTAGACATGAGATATTCAAGATTACACAAAAGAGGGAGCTACAGGTTCCCAGTATGTGAACAGTCAGCAATGTTAACCAAAATAAATAAATATATATATACCTAAGTATTTTGTGAGGGTTAAGTAGTACTCTTGAAGGCAACTGATTCAAGTCACTGTAAGAAGTTAAATTTGGATAAGTAGCTTCTAAACACCATGAAAAAGCCATGAAAATAAAAGGTCTTTAAACTGCAGTTGAGATTGGAATGGCTTTTTCTATCACACTAGAAGAAACCATTGTAATGATCTAATCTTATCAGCACAAGCCACAAAAACATCTAATAATTTTTGCATCGATGGGAGCCATCCCTCTACAAACAGCTTTCAAAGACCTCAACTCTCATGGTGAGACTGCTTCAGTTTACTTTCTGCAAGATTTGTTTCCGTTCAGTCATATTTAACGGCTTCCATCAGTAGGCCCAAAAGAACAAATCCTTCAACATCCCTGCCATTTTAGCTCTACTGGAAAACATCTGTCTGCTTCTGAAAACCAAATGAAGACAGTAAATCAGTGATCAAAAGCTTCACAGCTCCCCCCACAGCCCTCTTTTTCTTTTTCCTTTAAACTCCCTATGCTTATTTTTAGGAGGTACTAAGAATACATCACTTTAGATGAGTGTCCATGGAAACTGGAACTACAAGGGCAAGGGCATTCCTGAAGCGGGGGTGGCTCAAGCAGGAGCATCAGCCTGTTGAATAAAACTACCTCTTCTGAAAGCTCCGATAAATGTAAAGTTTGACTCATTTGTAATGGCATTTACGTTGATATGGAGTGAACTATAAATAGTGTAAGAGGAAGAACTTCAAGTGCCATTTATACTACAGAAACACTCATTTACCAGTCTAGTAATGCATCTGTTTCAAGTGTGCATATACCATCTTGCAAAGAAGTGTAGTTGATCGAGGTGCAGTAGACGGATTAAAATCAGACCCTGGATTACTCCTATGCACCAGCACTGAAGACATTACAGGAAACAGAATTTTTCTTTTCCAAGGTTTAACTATAACATCGTTTCAAACAAGAAAAAAAAAAAGAAAAGCTTTGAACGTGATATTTCCTCTAAGTTAACTTCAGGCTATTGTTGAAAACAACACGTAAAATCTCACTGTATTGCTTGACAGCTTTTTTAATCCTCTAGTAATAAATCTGGAATAAATGGGACACTAAAGAAGATGTTTAATACCATTCAAAAAGAGAACAGAAAGCATTGGTAATTTGCATTCACTATCTATAAGCAAAATACAATCTCTTAGCAAAAGAAAGTTTCAAGACTACTCAATGACACAAGCAATGTAATTCCAATGACAGTAAAGTTGAAGAAGGAGATTCTACTAGTTAGACGGGGAAGACATGTTTCTACTGGGATCAGGTACAGAGAGGCTCAAACATTTCAAATAATACTCCGCAACCTTTAAACAATTATGTTGATATATTAAAAAGTTTGGGTGTGTCTAATCAAGGCAAGAAAAAGAATGAATTGTTTAGTTTTATTTGAACATCTAAGTTTGCTTTAAGGCAGGCGTGGATAGTTTGTTATGATAAGCAATAACAACGTGGGCAGTAACCCCTAACAGTATCAGTTAACTGAGTCATCACGAGGAACAAGATTCACGTTCTGCACAGAAATTAAGCAATACTGTAGTGAAACAGAGTTAATGACTTCAGCCACTGCATTGCCTGTACAGGAATTGATTAAACCTACTTCATCTCAAACACCCATTTATTGTGAACTCCAAACCACTCACCTGTGTCAGGAACATCTGTAGGTCTCATAATTCTCCGGATCTGCTCCATTGACTGGAGATCTGGAGACAGTCCTGTAAGAAGAAAAAAATCCAAGTGATTTATATACATATTTTACCTGTTAGAAAGGATTCCAGAGAACAAACAGGTTTAAAAGACAGATCATCCATTGTTTCCACTGCAATACAAACAAAAGATTGTTCTCACTAAGACCACTAGGCTCCCAAACAGTAACACAAGTGAAATTAGTGAGGTGCTTTGTTTTCCTACTGTGATTTCAGCCATACATAGAATTCTACAGGTAAGTAGATTCACTTCAATAGCCCATTAGACAGAAAACCACTGAAGGACAATTTTCCCATTATCTTACACAAGTAAAACAGATGCAGATCTGTGCAACCAATTTACTTTTAAAAAGCCAAAGAAAAGTATAACACATCCAGCTTTAAAACACCATTAGGAAAAGCAGCCAGCAGGTATGACTTACATCTCATTCAACTGACAACACTATTTCAAAATGTTGCCACACACTGAAAGGCTGGAGCACCTTCCCTATGAGGGCAGGCTGAGAGAGCTAGGGCTCTTCAGCCTAGAGAAAGATCTGGGGGAACCTTCTAGCAGCCTTCCAGTACCTGCAAGGGGCCTACAGGAAAGCTGGAGAGGGACTTCTAAGGGCATGTAGTGACAGGATGAGGAGAAATTGCTTTAAACTGAAAGAGGGTAGATTTATCCTAGACAGTAGGAAGAAATTCTTGTGAGGGTGGTGAGACATTGAAATGGGCTGCTCAGCAAGGTTGCAGATACCCTCTCCCTGGAGGTGGTCAAGGCCACACTAGATGGGGCTGTGAGCAACCTGGACTTGTGGCAGGTGCCCCTGCCTACAGCTGGGGAATTGGAACTACATGATCTTAAAGGTTCCTTCCAATCCAAACCATTCTGCGATTGCATCAGTTGAGCAGCAGCCAATGGACGCTGTAAATGAATAATAGATTTTGCAATTGCAATAAATCATGAGCACAAAAGGTAGTAATCTACTACAGCTCAGCTGCTTAGTCATTCATAAAACCACAATGTTGATTATTAAAGTCGCTGATCATAAAGAACACACCTCTTTTTGTATAGTTTCACCCTATTAATATTTAATTGCAGCAAATGATGGGGTTACCAAGTTGCTCTGAACTCTTCAGGTACATGCTCCCTCCAGAACTGTTTTTACTTAAGGCATACAGGCATAAAAAAAGACTACTGGATGGATGCACTAGCGCATTAACATGACATTAACTAAAGGTTCTGAAGTGAGTAAAATATTTATATCACTTAGGCTAAGACCACCTCGTTAAGGAAGCCACAAATTTGAAAAGAGCATTTAGTTCTGACATACAATAAAACATTTTTTATACTAGCAAGTCATAACCATTTTACTCAGTCCAGAATTTTGAGCATAACAAGAAATCTGTCACTCGAAAGGAACTGCTACGTAACATAATCTCAGCTGACATCTAGGATAGGACAATAGCAATGGATACATTGGATGAACAGAGACTTCAACATATTTGATGTAAGGAAGGATTTGAGAAATTTTTCCAGTATTAAGATTTTAGATGATTTTTATTGAAGTGGTCTTCTCATAAAAGCCTTCTATCCACATCAGCTTGCCAAAACCATCTTCATGATAATACCCTTGAGGTTGTGAAGGATGGCAGAAAATCTAACTTTAGATAACGCATCAAAGGAGTTTTAGTCTATTACAAAACAATACAGGGAGAAAAACAAATTCAAATCGACAATCAGCTTCTAAACTTTGACCCACTTCTCCCTCCCCAAATCTGATCCATTTGCATGTAGATTACCTTAGCACAAAGGTGTGTGAGTTCTAGGAACTACCACACCCTGAGATAGTAATGGGCAATCTCAGTTAAGTACAGCCAGTTTGTGACCTTCTTTGGTGTTACAGCTCCAAGCATCTCAGGTTACACCCAAAACATGGAAGTTTTTCAAAAGAAAAATTCTAAGTCATGTCTCAACCCTGTAGCTGTTAAGTTCTACATTATTTTACATTGCTGTAAAATCCTAAAAACCCAAGAAACTACCTGAATGTTTGTAGACCTCTTCATGGCTTATCAAGAGGCCGTTTGTCCCCAAAGTAATATTTCCTTTGCACAAACATGAATAACTCGTGCCTGAAATTCACATCTATGGACAAAAATTGTGCACAATCAGCATCAAATGAAGGAATTACAGAGGCAAACCGGTTGCTGAAAGTCAGGTCAAGTTGTTACTTCTACAGTGATTGCTACAAACCATGTATTGAAAATAAACACAACTGACTTAAGCTGTCCTGTCAGAATGACAGATAAGCATTCAGCATACAGTCTTTTTGAGGTGTAAGAGCACACCTTTCCTAATGGAAAACAGAAGCAAGTTATTACTCATGGCAGACTCATCAAATTCAGGCCACAGATTTAAAACTACTCATCAGGTAGAGCTAGTAAGGTAAGACTGATTGTTATACACTTTTACATAATAATCCAGAAAGCTCCTCTGCTCTTTGGATACTACATATGAGAATCAAGACTCCTTGCATCATGTCAGTAACGTCACGGTCTTATCTATCGTACAATCTTATGTATATCTACTAAACTGACACGAATAACATCTTAGAGCTTAAACAGTCAGACAAATGTGTTCAGTCAACATAAAACTACAGCACAGCATGTAATCACAAAAGGATATAATCACAAACATGCTCCAAAAATTAGAACTAGAATATGGTGTCAAAGAGAACAATACTGTATATCACACAAAGCAGAGTAAAAGGGAGAAGGTGGGAATGGTTATGGAATGAGCTTTAATAAGGTGAGATGAAGATCAAAGTCAGAAGTAGTCTTTGTTTCAGAAGTGAGGACAGCTTTGAAAAATAAAGATAAAACACTAAATCGAAACACAAGAAAGTTTCAACCTAGAGAGAAGAAGGAGGCAAGCTGAAAGAATATTTGGAAAGATCCTTAGAAAGCAAGAACATTTGGAGACAGGAATGGCAGGAAAGGTTTGATTACATTGTGATATCTAGGAGAAATAGCTGACTTAGGATTTCAAACTACTGTAGAAGTCTACTGGGATAAATTAGGTGCCTTTATTTACTATGCTATGCAGTTTTGCAAAGTTTTATGATGTATCCCATCAGACAACATTTTTTAAAGAAACTATGCAAAAATGCACAATATAGTAAAGAAAAAAAAAAAAAAAGCACTACCTTTTATCTACCTGCTAGCTTCAACCTCCAGCAGAGTTAGTGTTGTTGACTCAATGTTTACTACGGTAGTAACATCATGAAAAGGTGTTGACAGTCCATGACTTCAGGGAATCTGGAATGTAGTTTGGACAGGGTTGGAAGAGAGCAGAAAAAGGGCAAAGCTTAAGTGCTGAATGTCCACTTTCATTGATTAGGAGCACACAGCACGTTTCAGAAGCTTTTCACTTGATTTCACAGCCAAAGATAAGCTGTGATTGGCAGTGTCCAGTATTTCAGGTACAGGTGAAACCTGTACAAGTTTAAGTGACAATTAATATGAGAAACAGAATTTACTGTTCTATTGAATAAGGGGATCCTTAAAGCATACATGTAAAATTTTCCAGCTTCCTTAAAGAAGCAGTGAACCCCCCCACTATACCAGTATTCCTTTTTCTTGACAATAACTTGCTAGGCTTCTTGTTCATAATTCACGTTTGATACTTGTGTGTATATGCAGCTTCATCACAGAATACAGTATTCTACTTGACCTTCTAAGTACCCTTCGTGACTTTCTACCATCTGAGCTTAATTACTCACCTAAAATATCTCAATATTTTATCACCTTTTTTTCCTACTGTTCCAAAATAAAATAAAATAAAATAAAATACAATAAAGTACAAGGATGGCAAAGAAATATATTTCAAAAAAGTATGACTTACAACGGCTTCCTTGGTGCATAAGAGATTTTGTACAAAGGCTGCTCTGAAAGCTACGCCTCCTTCTTTTATTCTGTTGGCTTATGATCTAAGAGGAGAAGTTGGTGATATGGCAACAGAGGTTGAACATTCCCATTAATAGTTACATTTTTGTTGCCATACGATACATGTCAGCAGAGGGGCAGTCTGACAAAGTGGCACATCATATGGAATTGCATATCATAAAATGGTTTGAATTCTAATGGACCCTTAAGATCACCTAGTTCCAACCCTCCTACAATAGGCAGGGGCATCTCCCACCAGAGCAGGTTGCTCACAGCCCCATCCAGCTTGGCCTTGAATGCTTTCTTTTTTTTGGGGGGTGGAGGGAAGGAAGATAGGGACATCTACAACCTCTTTGGGTAACCTGCTCCAGTGTCTCACCACCCTCACACTAAAGAATTTCTTCCTACTATCTCAGATAAATCAACTCTCTTTAAGTTTTAAACCACTTCCCCTTGTCCAGTTACTACATGCCCTTAGAAGTCGTCCGCCCCCAGTTTTCCTGCAGGCCCCCTTCAAATACCAGAAAGAGGCTTCTCTAAGATCCCCTCAGAGCCCTCTCTCCCTGAGGCTGAAGAGCCCCAGCTCTCTTAGCCTGCCCTCGTAGGGTAGTTGCTCTAGCCTCCTGATTATCTATGTGGCCCTATTCTGGACCTGCTCTAACAGCCGCCAGTCCTTTGCCTGTTGAGGGCCCCAGAACTGGACACAGTACTGCAGGTAGGATCTCAGGAGAGCAGAGTAGAGGGGCAGAATCAACTCCCTGCATCAGCTGGCCATGATTCTCTCCATGCCAGAATACAGTTGGCCTTCTGGGCTTCAAGCATATGTTGCTGACTCATTAAATCTTTCATCAACTGACACTCCCAAGCCCTTCTCCACCCAACCTCTATTTGTGCTTGCAACTGCCTCGACCTAGGTGCAGGACCTTGCACTTCACCTTGTTGAACTTCATGCAGTTGGCATGGGACCAACTCTCAATTCTGCCCAGATCCCTTTGAATGGCATCACTTCCCTCTCGTGTGTCAACTGTACCACCGAGCTTCGTGGCATCTGGAAGCTTCTTGAGGGTACTCAGTCAATTTCACATGTGAAGCAAAGGTGTCTCACTGAATACCTCCATGTGATAAAAAGAGCACCCACTGACATTTGCTGAACATTTATGAAGACCAAATGGTGGACGTTAGCACAGCGAGGCAATGAGTGGTGTGTTTCAGCAGTAGCAACAGTGTCATGAAAGACAAGTCATGTTCCAGACAGCCATGCACAGCTGTCATACCACAAAAATGAGGAGTACCTTGATCAGCTCAATTACGTGAATTACAGCCAGGGAAAATACATACAGAGCTGAATACCGGCTTCAGTGCATCGGAAACTATGGTGGGAACACTGGAACACTGCAAAACTTATACCAGGTGGCCCCCATGAATGCTCTCACATCAACAGGAAGAACAAATCCATCAGGACAAATACTAGGCTGAAGGTGACAGTTTCGCAGATCATGTCATTACTGGTGACAAGATGTGGTGTCACCACTGTGAGCAACAGTCATAACAGCAGTCCATGAGTGGTGACATGATTCCCCATCAAAGAAAAAGTTCAAAATGCAGCTCTCAGTTGGTAAAGTGAAGTGCACTGTGTTTTTTTTTTAGAATAGGAAAGGGGTGACTCTCCTGGATTTCCTGGAAACTGGAGAAGCCACATCAACTCTGCTGCATCCCAACGTAGACTAAACTGAAGGCTCCAGCTTCTGGAGTCAGGTGAGAGAAGAAAGTTCCTCTTGCCAGGCCCCATATAATTCTCAACAGCGTGGAGCACACTGACAATCTTGGCTGGACTGTCCCTACAGCATCCACCATATAGCCCAAATTTGGCACCTTGAGACTTTCATCTGTTTGGGCCGATAAAAGATGCATAGGCAACATTTTCTTTGCTATGACAGCACTGTTGCTGCTGTGCAACATTGGGTCACCTCCACTGGTGCAAGTTTTTATTTATTTTAAACAAGTGCAGCATTTAAGGCTCTTGCTCATTTCTGGAAAAAGCGTGTAGCTAATAGTACTGTGCTAAAAAACAGTGTTTCATTGCTGAAAGTTTGCTTTATCAAGTACTGCCACTGTGCTTTTTTTATCTGCTGTAGTTTCCATGGGAATCAATGGGAGGCATTACTTTCAGAGCAACCTATAAATCCTCCTTGTAATTGCAACCTTTAGCTCCTAAGACAAGTACCAGTTAAAAAAGAACAAAAGATCCCCCACCCGTCAATGGAGAAAAAAGTAATTTCCCTAACACATCAATGCCACCTGGATGCTGCTATAGACTCAGATGTCTACCACTGTGTTAGTTTTGGATTTACAAAGGAAAGCTAACACCAAGTCATGCTTAAGACTGATAAGCTTAGAGTAGCAGGCACTGAAGGCAAAACCTGTCAATACAGAATACAAGTGTAGGCTGGATCACTCCATACAGGCACAACCCTCAGAGGAACTTGAATAAAGGCAGGGCAGCAGTCATCAATACAATATCACAGTTCAGAGAAATCTGCACAAGAATTTTGGTTAAACATTATTTCTAAATCCTATTGGAGCTGTTCAAACCAAGTCTCCGCAGAGTGCTCACAGTTTCTGCTCACCTCCTTGGCAATGCAGATATGATACCACACCAATTCTGGATCAAGCTGCTAAGAAAAGAAGGCAGTTGCAAAGATAGATGGAAAACAGTGGGATAGTTCTTGCCACTACAGAAGTAGTTTGTAAGCACTGTCAGTTGTTCAAGTTGTTGGAACAGTACTCTACAAGGTCCCAGATTCCTCTAAGCATCACCAACCAGCAAAACATGGGGTGTTTCCTTTGACAAAGAGTGCCTGAGTTAAGTCCCAGTGTGGGAAGAAGTTAAAGCTTTCTTGCAAATCAAACACCTTTTTTTCCCCACTACAAGAACTGTATAGCAATGGGACAGGTGACCAGAATGTACGTTTTCCAACAGTCGATGTCCTTTGGTGTCGGAGCCATGATTGATCCCATCCAATGTCAAATGATGAAACTCATGATTATGAATTCAATGATGAAGTGATGATTATGTGGTCTCAGGGGTCTCTTCCACCAGCATCCTACAAAACCAGCTAAAGAGACCAAGACCACAGAGCTGCGGTTACTTGTGAAGCTTTTTCTTTCACTTCACAGCTAGGGATTCCAGTATCTGCTGTGCATCGGTAAATAGTTTTGGCAACAAGTCATGAAGCAAACATCAGGCATGAATTCTCATGTTCAGAATCCTCCAAAGAGGGATATGTATTGACAGGAATACTTAGATGCATTTGCCCTTCTGAGACAAGTGGTCATTTATGACTGGAAAGCACAACACCTGTTGGCTGCCAGATGTACAGAAAAATGCAAGACAACAACAACCTTTGCAGACAATATACATCATCGGCTAAAAAGGAAGTATGCACATTCACTCAATTTGATACAAAATTAATCCAAAGAACATGTTAGACACAGCCTTTAAAAGTAGTCATCCATTTACCTCCATGACAGCAGAAGATCTTCTCATCCACAATGGCTGCAATAGGCAGACAATTAAAGCAGTCTGTGAAGGTCTTCCAGAGCTTAATGTTAAACCTCCGCTTACCTACAACAACAGTGTGAGAGATGAGGAAAAGATGACTATTTTCTTAAAGCCAGCCTGCAATATATATCACAACCCGATCAAGGATGTAAGCTGTCTTCACAGCTTTATTTCTAAAACCTGAGTACACTTAGAGACTCCTACAATACCATTTCAAGGACAACAGAATAGAAAATAATTTTAAGTTTAATATCCTTTTGATGTGCACTTCCAGAAAGTTTCAAAGCAGGTTCACAGAGCACTGAAATTCTTACAGCATATGAATCATGAGTCATTACTGTAAGTACTTCCAAAACACAGTATGAATATACATCAGGCTTTCAGAAGAAATAGGTCTAACTTACATTCATCATAGAATCCATAGATCCGGTTGATGCTAGCACACTCGTGATTTCCTCTTAAGAGAAAGAAGTTCTCTGGGTACTTGATTTTATATGCCAGAAGTAGGCAAATTGTTTCCAGAGACTGTTTGCCTCTGTCTACATAATCTCCAAGGAAAAGATAATTTGCTTCTGGTGGGAATCCTCCATATTCAAATAGTCGAAGCAAATCTGTATACTGACCATGAATATCACCTGAATAAAGATGTTTACCAAGGGTTAGTGCAACAATGTAAAGAGCAGACACATCAAGAGCTTAAATTAATTACTTAATAGGGGATGGTGGGGAAAAAAAAAAAATAATAAAAATAAAAATAATAAAAAAAAAAAAAAAAAAAAAAATCAACATTCTCCCTTAAAAACAGACTGACAATAGGTACCAGAAAAGCGAAAACTATGTTATAAACTCCTAGAATGGCCTGGGTTGAAAAGGACCACAGTGATCATCTTGTTTCAGCCCCCCTGCCATGTGCAGGATCAGTGTTACTATGTTACACTACAAAACCAAGGACTTACTAAATGCAACTAACTCGCTATTCACAGAACTATTAAGTCAGTTGGGACACTACGAAAATCTGAAAAACCAAAGCTAAAGAAGTTATCAAACTATGCTTAAGCTTTCCAACCACGCTCTCATCTGGTCATATAGAAATGAAGTCAGAAAGACAGTCAGCAATTAAAACACCATAGCACATCGCATCAGACTAAGCAGAAGTTACCTGTGAGTTGCCCATAAGGTCAAAGGTGGTACCAAAGCTCTACAGTAACTTGTACAGTAGATGTGATATTTCAGCTGACAGTAGAACTCATTAACATTAACAAAAGTGACTGAATGCAAAACGATAACTAAGAAACCTTCACTAAAAGCTGTATGCTGATAATACAGATCATCTCTTGATCCCTTACACTAAACATGTCATCAATACATTTTCAACTGTGCTGTTTGTCCCGTGGCAAAATACCTGTCTTCATTAAACCTAGTAATTTTCCAGTAGAGAACTAGCCTCCATGACTATAGCAAACAAGCAAAATTAACAAACAAGATATCTCCATATGCCTACAATTTGTTTCAGAATCTCAGACCAAACAAAAAGACCTTCACATCTTGTGTGGAACTGTGTACCCCAGTAGTGACATGATGCTTTATTCCCCTTTATCTTTCCATGAGAAGCTCAATACAATTTTCTTCCAGCAGACAATGCTTTTAATTATTTCTTGCTCAAGGAGGGGATTTACATCCTACTTTCCTTTTAAGAATGAACATTATCCACTACCCAACTGCAGGCCCTCTCAAGTTCTACCAGCCAACATCATTTATGCATACACTACAAGAAGAATTCCTACAAGAAATCAAGACCAGAAGTACACGAGTTTCATCAGTGTGTCACCATGATGTTGAATCCAGTACTCCAGAACTATCCAAGTAGCACTCAAACTTCATCACTATCACAAGTACTCATGACCAAAGTAAATATACTATGGAAATACTTTATGTTCGTTGTTTGAAACTACTCTGTTACATGCATGAGCTAAAGGAATTAAAGGACATAAAGGATGAAGGAACATTTAGTAGGAACTACTCTGTGAAGTGACCAAAGCATTTAACATTATTCCATTGCAGGCACTTGATAATTTAAAATACAGCTTCATATGGGCACAAGTTGAAGCATATCCGAGTAAAAACTGCTATTTTAAAACTGACATTTACATAAGAAAATCTTCCATCTTATGTTAGAACACAGCCATTCAGGATGTAAAAGCTTTATTTTGAACTGATTAGAGAAGACAGTTCTATAACAATTTCTCAAGCACTACCTGAACACATTAAAACAGTAGTTCAAAGGAGTACAGCAGCATGTTGCGCTTCTGGTGAAAGCCATCACCACTCTTCCAATTCTAAATAAATACATCTTGACAATTTCTCTCATGTTTAATTTAGATTCCTGACACTTCTAGCTGCTATCACTTTGTTTAACATGTAATTTAAAAACAACAAATCTCTTCTGTAACTGTGCATTTGCTACCCCTACTACTGTGCATCTAAGAAACTTCTAGGCTGTCTAGGTTGAAACAATTGAGAAACTCAGTTTGAAGGAGCCTAACTATACTTCACAGATTTAACTTAATATTAAGACCGTATGCAAGTATTCCAGTTTTCTTCAATCTAGGAATCAGATGACACTGGTCTTTTCCTCATCACAGCATAAATACAATGTAGAAAAGCTAGATTTTTTACCTTCAAATTTATGTCATTAGGCAAGCTTGTCCTGTTCCTCTCCTCCCCCGTACTCAAGCAAGCAGTTATTTAAGAGTGACTCTGCCATTAGTGTTACGTTTGTTCTTAAATAACTGCTAATATTCTAAATGTATGGCATATCACTACAATTGCTCTGCCAGAAAGTTTTAATTCTATGATACTTCAAGCAGTCAAATTCAAGCATGTGTCTGCTGTTAATAACTTGAAGCCTGATTACAAGCCAGCATTTACAATACTTCAGTAACAGTTGAAAATGCATGCATGCCTATTAACTGCATGTTTGAAGGAGTCTAGCATATTCTAAAGGCTTAGGGTGGTAAAGAATGCAGTTTTACTTCTATTGGATAACAGCATTTGATGATAATATAAAGTTTGAGGTATGTTTTACACATTAAGAAATTTTGATTTATGATTTTTTTTTTTTTTTTTTTAAGTTGAAAGACAATGCTTTCTTCAATTTTCAAACAGAGACTAATGAAGTACTCAATTTCATCTTATATAAAGATCTTTCTTCAGTTTCTGCTATGAAGGGAACAAGAAAAACAAACATTTACTTCTTAATGCTTTTTAAAAATACTCTGAGATAATATCCAAGCAGTAGCAGCTCTGTGCAAGCCCTTAAGGAAGAACAAGGGACAGGTTGCAAGATGTGCACTAGAAAAGAGTGCATGCAGCTCTTAACTGCCAATCAGCACTTGCTCCTAAGCAGCAGCAAGAGCAAACATCAGTTGCCTTTTCTTGACTTAATCCAATCTAAGTTGAGAACAACCTTCACGATTGAGAAGGTCTCCATCGCTAATCTGTATAGCTCAAGTCAAGGCCATTTGCATACCTCAGTATCTTCTTCATCAACTTTTCCTTTCATTCCAGTTAGCACACAGCTAAATCAACACACCTACATAATATACATACATTAAGCTTACATACCACAGATCTTCAGCGGTGCCTCTAGTTCCAGGAGAATAGGCTGGCTAAGAAATATTTCTCGTGATTTTATGCACAAGCCCCGAACTTCTGCTTCTGTCATCTGAACAATCTTCCCAGGACGACATCCTCGCACTGAAACAAGATGTTTAACAATTAAGATAGCTGGCACACAGATGCCTAACGACAGATAAGTGCAGATGAGCTGCGTTTGAAGTCTGTATCTGACAAAAAGAGCAGCACACATCAACTTATCTATTAAAAGTGGGAACTGCATATTCCAGCCAGTTCCAAAATTAAACTTTGATAGAGGCAACCTGCGCTTCAGCTCAAATGCGTCCCTGTTAAGTCACAGTCACAGAAAGTAGCGATTTAGATCTTGTTTTTGTACATGTTGGGATAAATAGCAAATTCAAAATGTGTTTTAGTGAATTATCAGATAATGCTAGAGTATTCACAGCAGGCAACAAAAAAAAAAAAAAAAAAAAGAGAATGGAAATCTCAAACATTAACACAAAATGATCTAGGCCAACTAAGTTCAACAAGGCGAGCTAAACACAAAGAAAAGACAGGTGTGTTTGTGCTTTCAGCAGCTGAAATTGTCCTACCAGGAACATGACATTAAGCTGTGTCTGTGTTGAAAAAAACCTTCATTTATATATAATGGATCTTGAATTACAGGAACCTCAGCATCCAAACAGACACTCAATTCACCTGAAATCAATTCCTATATCCACAAGCCAAGTATTCCTACCCATACTTAGTACTAAAGTTTCCAAAGACATCCACGCTGCACTCCAACTAACATCCTCTGGCAAGCCTACCTGCAGCTGCTTCTTTCCATGAATACCTACGTGATTCTTCTCTCAGAGGCTCCAGTGCGTACGTGAGGCAGCAAAACAGAACAAACGTCTACCACCCTGGCTGATGTGGTTCAGTTTTGCATGTTAGTATAAACTAACAACCAGATGCAAACTAATAGAGCAGAATACAGCAGTATCCACATAGTGTTCTGCCTCCTGCTTCACATGGAGCAACACAGCATTAAACCACAGTAGTAGCTATAAGAAAAAGTGCTATGAACCTTTAGCAATCTGAGTCATGATTTCAAACTCTAAGACAGTAAGACTTAAAGTATTTGCTGCATTTCAGTAAGTCTTACGAAAGACTTGGTTACGAAAGTCTTGGTTAAGCAGCCACAGAACAGATGAAGAGTCAAAAAAATAATTAGTACTTCAAGTAGGAAAGAGAAGATGTGAAACTACACTTTGGGACAGCCAGCAGGAATGCACCAGAAGGAAGGCCAGCTTATCTGCAGTGACAATACAATGCTCAGTAGAATCCCACAAAAATAAGGCTAGTAGAAGCACCATAGGGAGATTTCTTTCAGGGAAACTCCAAATGTGACATGTGACTCCAAATGACTCCATGTGACATCTACTGTATGGTAAGTCACACGCCTTCCTCTAACTACATTAGAGAAAGCAGACAGCTTTTACTAACTTCTCTGTAATCTAACATCTTAATGCAGGAAGAATGACATGTTAAAAAATACAAGGGCAGACAATTAAGACACAAAATGATAGGAGAACAAATGCATAGGCTTCAGTTGCAGCACATATCAAATGTCTACAACATGATAAACTTAAATGCATCTTCAGCCTCCAAGGGATTATTGGCAAGAAATAAATCTATCTGAACAGCTTTGCACAGGACTTGACTACTCAATCTGCAGGTACCAAAATCCTCTAAACTCCTCCATGCTTTTCAAATACTTGCACTCCAGCAGCTTATACAACTCTCTTTCACAGACCTGAAACTCACTGCGCTAGACACAACAAATTCTCACTATACCTAAGAAAGTTCCCATCTGAAAAGGGTACAGTCTTAACAGTTTCAATTACTCTTACTGAGGTAGTTACGCTACATTTTAAACCCATGGCTGCCTGATGCCTATAACATCAAGGTCCTACTGCACAATTCTTCAGCCTAACTAGCTTGTCTGCCACATTCTACTCCACTATTTGCTTTCCTTCAAAGCCTTCCAGTAAGCAATTAAGTTTGCTTCTGTATTTAACTATTGTCAATGTTTTGCAACACCAAGATGAAGCCATGTACTAAGGATTAAAACCAAGAAGTAACTTAACTACACACACATTACACCCAGTCTACTTTTGGAACTGAGGCCCAGGAAATCCACTATAGACAACACTGATGTTTCCATAAATGGTCCCAAAGCACAGAGACCAAAACTGAGGCTGCAGTTCAAGGAGGGCACTTGTAACACTAGCTTTGATCCAATCAATATTTCCTAGAACACTGGCATTGGCTCCCTTTGAAAAAGATGGGTTCAAATCTGGAACAAACGCTTTGCAGAATTAAGCCACTAAGTGCTGCCTGATTTCTGCACTAGAACACATACTGAACATGCAGCTCGTGACTTTCAAATCAGCCAACTGCCACAGCACATCCAGAGTTGTGGTGCCAGTTCCTGACCTTTTATAATGCAGCCTTACATGCTGCAGCCCCTTAACAGGAAAGCCAACAGGTTCGCAATTCATTACTAGACACAATAAATAAATAAACCCAGCTTCTAAAACTATGCCGAGCATGTCACTGGGAGACAAAATGCCTGGTGACTGCAGTTACAGGCAGCCCCGGGGGAAGGAACAGCCCTGAGTCACCGGGCCTTTACAAAGGCCTGTCCATCGGAATCAGCAGCAGCTCTGCAGGCACAAGCTCACTGCCATTTGAAGAAGCAGAGCCTGGGCTTTCTTGAGAAATCATCTTCAAAAATGTATTAAAGAGGCAAGCTTTCTCCCATAATCCCCGTAGTCAATAAGACAAATAATGTAGTGAAAAATAAGAAGCTACTGTGACCTCAGAAGCCTCGGCATATCACTGGACTCGCGCTCAAAGGTGCTGAAAGGTTACCCAGCCAGGCAGCTGGAAGAGCTGGGCCACTGCCCTGGCACAAACAGACAAACGAAACTAAGCACATCTTTCACCCACGTACACTGCAACTAGAAATCTGTTTACGTTTCCTTGGCTCAGCTAGGCACTGTATGGAACGTAAGTCAGAGCATCTCTCACCATATTTAGTTTCTCAAAAGACAACTCCTCAAGAACTGATCTAAAAGGAAGTCATGAGAACTGGATCAAGAGCACAAGTTGCGTTTTTCAGACTTCTTTGCAAGTTACTATAGGAAACCACTATTAAACATGCTAGCCACAAATACAAATTTCACAGTGCATGCGCCTCACAGTAAACTTTAACAGTACTGGGAAAAAAAATCAATCATTTCCAATGGTTGCTGTTTACCAGAGGAGGAACAGTAGCTCAGCATTAGGTATCAATTAGTTGTCTATGATGCAGACACAGTGAACAAGCATTGACTTACACAAAAATCTTTGTCAGGGACAACTACTCCTCTTCCAAGTCTCAATCCTGCATGCATAGCCCTATGCCAGAATAAACCTTTACTGATAGGAGCTTAAACTTTGACAACCTAGTGGAGAACAAGGCATTACACTATACATTGTATTGTGAAGCTATTATTTTAGCACAATAGCTCTGACAGTAAACCAAACCTACTCTAAATACTGTTAAAGTGTCTCAGCACCTACACAACTGCTGGTAAGCACCTTGGTAAATCTAACAATAGGAGCCAATAATTTGAGATGTGAGTTGCAGTGCCAGGAAAGAAACTTGCACACTAAGAAGGGGTTTTTGCTTGTTTGTCAGTTCTGTTTGCCAGCATCTTTCCAAACCCATGCCAGAGACCAGCAGATTTTGTAAGGCTGCCACACTTTCTAGCATTACAACACCAAGCAAAGCAGTCTGAGAACTGACTACTGGAGGTTCTGTGAGTTTTGTTCCTTCTGCCATACCCCACAGAGTTGAGCAAACACATTCAAGCCAGTCTGCCACTCTGTCTCTGATGTGCCTCTCACTTCAAGTAACCAAGCTTTTCATTTTGTGGTATCACTAATAGAAGTTTCTTCTATTACTGAATCAGCTGTGGTACGCACAGCTGTCCTTAGCACGACTGTGTTCTAATACCACACATGTGCTGAAAGTGTGAGTGTTGCCTGATAAACAGGCCATCACTAGACCCCATACACACTTCTACCACGTTGGAAAAAATACTGGTGCCAGTACAATTGCTATAATGAAACAACTTCCATCTTCCCCTACACACATATTTTGCATGCACCCTTGCAAGCCCATAGAGTAAACTGCACTAGGGAGCGCACCTTTTCCTTCTAGCACAAAGACACAGCAAAGAACTTTAATCTAGACAGCTCCCCAGGCTGGAAGATGCAACCACTGTGAACTTGGGTGACGATAAGTTAAGGATTAAGCAGCCAGTTGTTCTTCTGGCAGAAGCTCCAACCAAGGTACTTCCAAAATTACTGTTTTCAAGTTCTATTTGCCAAAGCAAATCTTTAACAAGAAGCAAACAAAAACCACAGCACAAGACTGGAAGCACGCAACTTTGCCGATATCCCACAAGTGTATATATTCACTCATGATAGTCTCTGGAACATTTAATCATTGGCACCAACCAACTGAACATTCAACTGTTTGTCTCTTGTACAACAAAGTGTCCTGGAATCTTTGATGAACCCTGAACAGCTTCTGAACAGCAGGAGCAGAATGGATCTGGAAGCTAAAGGTACCAGTACTGTTAATTAAAGAAAGCACACTGCTGAACAAACAGCTACTGTGCATGTTACACAGTGAAGAAAGCTCTGCAGTAGTGTGTACCATCTTGACTCTACACAAACAACAGAAGAGCTAGCTTTTTGGGGAGCTTTTTCTGAAGAGCTACATTGCTCAGTCCAAAAGGCCTAAAACCACTGACACCTATCCTCACTAGATGCCCTCAAGATGAAGAGTTTTGCTGAAGAACACAGTGTTGGACCATGAGCTCACTTTAAAAGGATTTATTTAACATCATACAAAATGACTGCAGAGTAAAAGACTGTTTAAGCCTTCAATTTATAAGCAGGGAAATAACCAAACAACTAAGTGTTCCTCTTTCACCAGAAGTTGAAACTACATTCCTGAAGTTCATAGTATCCAGCAGGATTAATGCTCATGGAGAAGCACCATTAGAAGCTATCTAAGATTGCTTCAGGGGACACTCAAATCAGCCCACCACAATATGCAATTTAACCTACATCAAAACCTTTGCCAGCTGCATTTGCTCCTCATGGGCCACCTGTTTGTTTAATACAGAGGTTCCATACAGCTTATGGTCTCAGTCATTCATAATCATTTATTGTCCCAATCATTGCTGGATCCAAAGTTGAAAGATAAGATCACAGCAATCATTCCATTCCATAAGCAAAATATGTAACCCTAATACTTGTTATTGCTCTATATTTATTGTGTTTACTTAGCTACACTTGAAACAAAGCCCCCTTAACCAGCAAAGTATGAGGTAGAAACCTCTCACTGTGCAGTAACATACAAAAGAGTGGCAAGTTCTTTTCCACATTACTTGCAAGGTTAAACTAGCATTAAAATCTCACATAACAAAGAACATCAGCTTCTTTCTCAAAGTCAGACTTAATTTTTCCTCTAGAGCAGAGCTAACAAAATTACTGATTGGAGACAGGCAAGGGCAGATTACAGAATCGCATCCTTACTCCTGATGAGAAACAAGGAGGAAGATGGCTGAAGACATATTAAGAAAGCTACAATTTAAGATGACTTTTGCACTTCTAATTCCTCAAATACTTAAATACCATGGTTGCTGTGTAGAACAGGACTAGAGGGAATGGCCCCAAGGCACACCAGGTTGGATATTACAAAAAATTTCTTCTCCAAAAGAGTGGTCAGATGCTGGAATAGGCTGCTCAGGGAGGTGGTAGAGTCACCCTACCAAGAGGCGTTCAAGAAACATTTAGATGTTGTACTGAATGAACCCGATTTAATGGGAAAACACTGGTGGTAGGTGGACAGTTAGACTAGGTGATCTTGGAGATCTTTTCCAACCTTGACAATTCTATGATTCTAGACACACATTAAAACTTCATCAAGCAAGCTTGGTATTCAATTGCCAAAAGACAGAAAACAGTGCTGTAAAACAAAGATGAAGTAGTCAATGCTAAAAGACAAATCATTGGACGTTTTGTCAAGGCAGTAAACAGGGCCATTTCTACACGAAATTCACAAGGCAGACACAGATGGCATCAGCAGTACTCCAGGCTGCAGTTCACAGTAGATTTCCTTACACACACACCCCATTCCCTGAGTACACCATCTGACCTCACCAAGCTGCAGCCAAATATAGTATGCTTGACTTCACACTGCTAAACTACTTATTGTCTTTTTTTTTTTTTTAAAGTTACATACCTATTTTGTAATGGCCACTCACAAACATTTGATGAAATACTCAGGCTAGAAAATCCTCCTGTTTACATTAAATAAAGCACTGCTTCCTTCTTTTATGCTATAATTTAGCCGTAACCTCTGAACAAGACAAAGACAAATAATTTGCAGCAGTGTTAAGTGAAACAGTTACTGAATCATGTAGATAGGCTTAAAGCAGCAAAATAATCCAACAGAAGAAAGGGACCAGCATACCTTTTTTGACACTGGGCTCTTGGCCTACAGTACAATTTTTCAAGTCAACTATCTAATTCATCCCGCACTTATAAAGCCAAGGATGAACTGGCTCACATCTGCACTGCTGTACAAACTCAGCAGAGAACACCACTCTTCTTGTATCCCTTCTCCCCATTTAATGCAATACACACTGAGGAACATACAATGAAAACAAACGATTTTATCTCTCCAAAGAGACAAAGAATACTTAAAAAATTATTCCTTAGCCAAGAACTCCTTGCGTTGTTATCATTTATTCTTTCTAATACCAGCTTGTCCAATGATTTCACTGCCAATCAGGCCACAACCTTTGATCTTTCAAGATTCACCTCCACGGTGTGATCTTATCATGAATCCACAATTGCCTCTGTATCAGCAATGAAGTCCATGGAACTGCAGCACAGCTACGGTATTTTATCTGACCACCAGGCTGCCTGGGTAGGATAGCCAACTGAGACATTAGCCAAATCTGAAGCTCACTGGTAATAATGCATTAGTCCAACAAATCTGTAGTATTTAACAGTAATAAAAAACATCCCAATTATTTCATAAGCATTTAAATTCACCTTTCACCTGAAAAATTGACTCATGCTCAAATATAAGCGTTTGTCACAATCTGTATTATCTCTGAAATAACAAGAAAACAAAGCTAGTAGCTTTCTTAGAAGACATCACCTCACACAGTGAGATCACAGTATAATCAGTTTTTATTAGGTGGATGTAAAAAAATCATGCTTTTAGCTGAGCACTGAAGCTTAACCATTCCCCGCATCTACATGAAGCTTGACAACTCTCCTCTTGACCTTCATAGTAGACTCAGTACTATCCAAAAGAGCAACCCAGCTAGCTTCACCAAAAAACAAATTTGTCTTAGAGCAAATTTATGTTAAGTTCCATTAACAGAAATCAAATTGTTAACACGCCGCGAGACTTAGGTAAGCAAGCAGCTCGGTCCTGTGCAATGGTTTCACAATCAAGTCCTCTTCAGAGATCCCGTTATAGACATGGCTGAAGTCCAGCCCAACTGGACTCATAAATAGAGACAGTTACAGCACAAGAACAGGAAGCCCAACACCCCCATAAACGTGGTAGCCTAATAACCACCCATAGCTCTCTTATAAGAAAAGGCACAGTGACTCCAGCATCTCTGCTTTGCCACAGAAGGAACTTCACCATACATACCCAAAGCTTAAGTTCACTTACAGCCCGGGTTAAATGTAAAGCTGGTACACCAAGCTAGCCCACCATTTTTGCAGATGTCATGGCATTTCCCACAGAGGGACATACGGTGCACCTAGACAGGACAAAATACAGCATGTTCCACATCTTTTGTGTAGATGACAATCTTACGTGTGCGTAATCCTGGACTGTCTATAGATAGAACAGGCTGGGAAGATCCATCCACCAGATGGCATAGCTGAGAAAGCAAGAACAAAAACAACAAAAAACACAAGAAAACAGCACACTGGGTGTTTAAAAAAAATATGACCATCTTTTTTGTATACTATAGTGCAACTAAGCCTGATCCATGTCTAGAATTCTGAATACCTGTATAAGAAAAACTCTAAACTAATTCAGTGCGTTCACTTTTGTGGTCCCCCATCAGTTCAAAAATGTTCCAGCTAAGCTAAAAAACTGTGGTTGTATGACTTAAGTGCTTGCAGAATCTTTTATAAGCTATTTCTGTATCAAAATATATCTTATCATATCCCCCAAATCAATCAGGCACACATTTAGAAGCACCATCTCTAACAAGTAAGCAAGTACCAGACATATTGTAACAGTCATTGCAAAACAAAATCTTACCATTCATTAATTCAGCAGTGAATTCAGGAATAAAAAGGATAAGTATTCAGTATAAGCAAGAACATGGAAATAAACCAACGTCCTAGGAGACTATCATCAAGCATTAGCCTATGGCTCAGCTAAGCCTTTCTGAAAACTGCCCCCAATTTAACTCAAGAACAAATCAGTCTGGCCTCAGGCACTCCGAGGAGCCCAACCACACATTCAGGGTAAGCATGCATGCACATCTGCTGAGTGTTAGTAGTTTGTCCTTGAGGAATTCTCCGAAGCAGCCCAGCCACAGGCCTCCTCATACCGATGTCTCAAACAAGAAGAATCACATGCAGGGTAAGATGATCTACTGCAATCAGAAGGCAAGTTTAAGGTGTTATATAACCCAGAAGACAAGAAGTGGTCTTGAGCAACCACAGTGGAAACAGTTATAAGAAATCTAATTAAAAACACAAGAACTCAGGCTAGCTAGCCTCACAGCCTAGGAACAGGTGTCACAAACCAGGAGGCCAACTATAGCAGGGAAGGTTCAGGCCACAGCTTCTAATATGCATTTACTGCCTTTAAAATTTATGTGCAGCCTCAGACAATTGTAGACTACCGCTGAAACTGAACAGTATCCAGTTTCACCTCAAGTAACCAAAAGGACTACAGGCATCCTGCACATCAACATTTCATAAAAAAATACTATTGATCATGTTAACGCAGTTTTTGCTTTTTTAACAGCTCAAAAGCCACTTTTCCTCACTGTTTTAGTCAAAATTGAAGTGGTCATAATGGAAACAAACAGTTTACTTTCTACAGACTGCTCCAGAGATAAAAGCTGATAGGAATTGCCCTGTGCAAACAGCATGAGGAGATACACACACAGAGGCATGGGTCAGCTAAGTGACAGCATAAGCTCTGTAACATGAGCTGCTAGCTGCATGAAAACGCTTCAGCGTGAAACACTACTGTTCAAACTGCAGCTTAAGATACTGTATATTAGCAGTAAAACAAAAAACATTACATGTAAGTCCATGTGCAATGCACTATTTGTTTTTCAAAAGTAACCTGGAAGAAACTATTCCTTTTCAGATACAATATAATATGTTGTACAAAGTGCTCCTTCTACTCTGTTTGTAAGGGACAAGAAAAATCATCCTGTTTTCATAAAGAATCTTCCTGATCTCTGCTCAAAGAGATAAACTAGCTGACAAACAGACGCAAAACTTATTTCTTAAATTGCGTATACATATCCTTAGAAATTAAATTGCCATGGAATGAAAAGTATAGATGAGGTTGCTTAGTCTCAGTATAGCCAGTAATAACCCAAAGGGCTAGAGAGTTGCAACACATTTATGGTATATGTGAAAGGTAACAAGTATTTTAAAGGTCTTAATCACCTTAAAACAATCTCTTTTTAAGCAATCACCAGATGGGCAGAGAGGAAAAGTACTTCTCATTTTTACTTATTTATTTATTTTTAGAGCCTCTTTCCATAAGTAAGACAAAAAAAAGCAACCAAAAAACCACAACACCATACATACACACACATTAGGAAGTTCAAAAAAAAAAAAAAAAAAAAATAAAAAAACAATGTTTAGTGGGCTACTGCTTAGCTTGCCTCCTCATACCTACCTACTAATCAGGATTTCAACATGCAGAAAACGCGGAGTTTATCTGTAGTAGTGATCAGAGATAAAGTGACTGATAACAGCTGCAGCTTCTTTCCATACTACACTACAGTGTGTATCATGAAACACAAACATGAGTGCAATTGCCCAACGCCTTCATGTCTTTTTCAACATTGGTTTTACTGCTTTTAATTTACAGTTTCACCTCCAAAAAGGCTAGCAATTACCCAAAAAAACAGAGAGTTCTACAAACTCTGCTCGGCAATAACTTGGCTAAGAAGAATTTTCAGACTTAGGAAACTTGTTTCTATTCCAGAACAGTACGTACTCCATACGTTTCTTTATATAAGCCTTCTGCAAAGCGACCTAAGTACACGAGGCTCCCATCTCCATTTGTGGCAAGGCAGTAAGCGAAGAGCGCGTATCCGTGCGTGCAGCACACCGGGCACGGGCTGCGTGCGGGATGGGCCAGCTACATGAGAAAGGGCCTGCGGAGACCGAACACCCGAGACAACTTACGAGAGAAAGAAAACGCTGGTAACAGTACCGCAGCTTCTCCGGAAAGACGGATTCACCTTCCATCCTCACGACGAAGGAAACCCGCACGAAACCCACCGCAGCCCCCAGCAGCGCTGCACAGAGCACGGGCAGAGGGCCGCTGGCCTGCCGCTCCCACACAGCCCCAAGCCTAACGCCGCTCCCCAAACCGATTTCAACCCCGGAAGGCAGCGACCGACCCCCGCCCGCGGCCGAGTCTCCCCCAGAGGGCAGCCGCGGCGGCGGGAACCGCTCCTCAGCGGCTTTTCCGCCTTTTCGACGCCCTTAAAGGCGGACGGCCGCCTCAGCGCGTCCCCCCCCTCCCGGCCCCGCCGGGTACCCCCACAGCGTCCCCTCCCCACCCCGAGGAGCTGCGCGGGGCACGGCCCGGCCGCCGGAGCCCCCCGAGCCGCCCAGCCCCCCCAGGCCCGAGGGAGGGGCCGCTCAGGCTCCCGCCGAGCCCCGCCCGCCTCCCGCCGGCGCCCCCATTCTCCCGCGAAGCGGCCCGGCGCTCACCTTCCAGCAGCCGGGTGATGAGGCTGTCCACGTTCAGCTCCCCATCCGCCATTTTGTGGCCACCACACTCGGTCCCGGGCGGGGAGAGGGCGGGGTGGAGGGCGCTCCGCCGAGCAGCAGGAGGAGGAGCAGGCAGCAGCAGCAGCAGCCGCGGAGCAGACGGCTCCCCCCGCCCACCGCCGGCAGTCCCCTCCGGCCGCCCGGCGTCACAACGCAGCCAGCCGAACGCGCTCCCGCCGCTCCCTCGCCGCTAAATGGGAGGAAGCGGCCACCCCGTCTACCCGCGCCTCCTCCCCGCCTCAGTAGCCGTCGCCGCGCATGCGCCGCTCTCCTGGTGCTGCGCAGGCGCTGGAGGAGTAGCGGGCTGTGGGGCGCGTGCGCGATGCCTGTTAGGCGGTTTGTTAGTCTGTGCCGCTCCCTTGTTTCTTGTTGCTGTTGGATTTTTTTTTTGGGGGGGGGGGGGGAGGAAAAAATACGCCAAACTGCGTCGTCGTAGGCTGCGTGTAACTTGTGTATTACTTCTCCTGCTGCTGAAGCCGCCTGTGGAAGCTCACAATCAAAAACCTGTCAGAACCGGAGTGACGTGACGTGCTCTCTATAGCCCCGTGCTGGAGCAGTTGTCAGAGCAGCCCCATAACCACCGCAGTTTGTGTGACGCTGTGGCTGGTCCTGCCGAGAGTACCTGTTTGCTGATATCTGATGATGGTTTTTAAAAAACAAGTACCGTGGTACCACGTTAGTTTACGCCAATAGCTGCTTGCCTTGGATGGACAGAAATGTGTTTTAAAATGTACGTGGTGAGAAGGTGCAGACTGGGTCAGCAAACAAATAAATGTGTTGGCAAAATACGTACCTTGCCTTGTGCTGAACAAATGGCAGGTGTTCTGGAACAAGCATGCCACTTATTTATGTGCCTAAATATAGGCGTTGATGCAAAAAAAAAAAAAACAAAAAACAAAAAACAAACAAAAAAAACCCCCACACTTCTGCGAACTCAGACTTGATCTTTTCATCTCTCCGTACAGGCCAGCAAACCCCCCCCCTCCCGGTCCCCCCCATTGCCTTTAGTATGTCTCCTCTTGCTTTCTTGAGGAGAAAATGAGGAGGAGAAAGCAAAATCAGTTAGGGCAATGCAGGGTGATAGTTAGGCATCAGGCAATGCCAGGTGTCCAGGCAGCCAGGTAGAAGAATGCTCCTTTGAAATATGTAGGCAATGATTGTAAAGCTTCACTTGGATCACTGAAGGAAGAAGAAGTTCTAGAGAAGAAAATGTATTTTGTATCTCCCTTTGATGGCAGCATACATAGAAATATAAATTTCAGCTCATCTGCTGAGAGCATACACGTGTCCTTCCTTATTTCTGACAGTAGTAAAAATCTAAATAACAAATCTTCATTATTATTTTTTTTTCAAATTAGGAAAAGCCAAAGTCATTCAGCTCTTAAAAAGATCTTCCTTGTCCTAACTACTAAATCCTGCCAAAACTAATACATACATGGTCCCTCCTGACCCTTCAGGATTTGTCCTAGTTTTATTTCTTACAACTGAAGTGCTGTGAAGATTGTTTTAAGTCATCAAATTCAGACATAATTTTATATTATCAGAGAACATTTTGCATTGACAACAGAATAGGGATGAAGTTATCCTTCACTGTGACATAAAGATAGAATTAATTTGTCTTCAAAAACTCCAGAAGATACAAATCTTTCAGATAGGTTGAGTAAAACTTAATTCCTTAACAACTGTTTTTACTAGGCATGTCAGTGTGTTCCAGTGGCATATCATAATATAAAAATAATTTAATAAGTGGAAGCTATGGAACAGAATTCAATGCCGCAGAATGTGGAAAAATACATTATTTCTTTCCTTTGTAGGTACTCCGCATGTCTCTTTAAATTTTACCACATTCACATTGTATCTGAAGCCATACTGATCTATATAACTTCAAGCCTTTGCATAATTGAGAACCTCTGGCACACTCATGAAGCTTGGATTTCTACTCCACTTCTCTGCTTTTCAGTTTTTGGGAGTGAGAGATGACATTACATAATGAGGAAAGCCCACTGATGCTGCCTTTGCCATCAGTACAACACCTTACCAGCCAGCTCCTGGCCCTCATACCAGCAGGTCTCCCCTCTTCTTTCTCATCCTCCATGCATCTTGCAGTAAGAACATGGCTGAAGCAGTGTTGTTCCCCAGCTGTACAAGGCTGTCACATGGGAGGACAGGCATCTCGCCGTGCAACAGGACTGCACAGAATGCTCCTGCTTGCTTTGTAGCTTGAGCAAGGAAATGAGTTGGTGGCTTTCTTACTTGTAGATCAAACTTGATAGATATTGTGGTTTGCATTGGCAAAACTACATTACAGCAAAAGGAATTAGAAGATCAGAGAATGAGGCCTGTTGTCTTTTATGATTCAAAAAGTACTATTTAATGTGGACTGAATGCATTGTCTTTGATCAAGGGGAGATGTTCAGTAATTTCTGACATTACAGCATATGCATGCAGGCCGAAGACATCTAACTGATTAAAGTAGCAGGAGAAGCAGAACATTGCTGATTTGCTTGTGGCAAATTCTCATTAATAATACTCATCTTTCTAAACTTCCTTTCAGTTATTTTGAAATCTCCTCTTATGTCCACAAACAGGGCTTTGCTGCTAACTTTCTTTCGGTCTCTGTGCCATTTACCATAAATGCCCTGCGTGACATCTTTCTTATCCACATGCTGTCTCAAGGTATCTTTTAATTCAGTACTGAATATGTAAAACTTGAACAACAGATATTTCCAAATACGGTGGCAAAAAATGGTGAGTTGCCAAGTGTCGCTCTCTAAGTCCTTACTCTGCTGCTGAGAAAGTTGTGTCCCAGCTATAGAGCCCTGTCTTGACAATATTGCCTACTCTTTCCTGGTTGCCTTACATGGGGTCTGCTATCAAGTACTTTAAATATTGACTTCAGCATTATTAAAGTTGCTTTCAGAAACCACAGATCTAGCTGCTTTGTCCTACTTGGTCTGTCCTCAGTTGCCTGACTGAAAGCACACGGCAATGTTTGACAGCTATCCACTCACTACAGCTTATTTCTGACATGTCATATCACCCCTGTGGAGCCTAACTTGGAGCTGACTACCACTGCTGTGTAGGTGGAAAAAGCTGCATAGCCCATTGTTGCTTTTCCATCCTGTAATTAGGTACATACTCTCCCTGGGTGGAAGCACTGCTGTCTCAGTGGCCTTTTTCAGTTTCTGACTTGAAATGGGAGTTAGTGATTCCAGTCAGCACAGGGACATGTTTTCCGAAGACAGCTTGCTTACAAAATACTCACAGGTCTTGATTTTTGAGCAAGAAACCACATCCAAGTACTCTCAAAATAGACAAGTACTGCTGATTAATTACCACTATTTGGTTGTAAAACCAGAGGCAGACACAGAAAGCTAAGCAGATCCTACCCTGTAGCTCCTTGGGACCCTTTTTCCTTTCTCAGTATTTGCATTAAGGCTGGGTGAATAATAAGTTTTGTTCTGTACTTTTAGAGATTAATATATATATATATATACACTATCTAATACATAGAGCCAAAACCAAGACTTTCTCAACTTTCATAAGAAATGAGTGGAGAAGGGCAGTGGGTTGAGTTCAGAGCCATGTACCCAGAATGTGAAAAACTTTCCTGTGAACTGCAGTGTCCTAGATGGGTTTCTTTTGGGAGTTGTGACATTTTGTATAAATAATTAAATATCAGCTGCAGGAGAGATGTGAGTTTGGATCTGTGTCAGATGAAAACTATAATCGTTCAGCAAAAGAGCCAGTCGATTCCTTTTGATGTAGCAATGATAGTTTCTAGAAATAGTTAAATATTAATAGAACCAAAAATGCAGGCTATTATTAAAGTAATACACTGTAAATATTCTGCATACATTTCATACTTATTCTTTCCACTTCAAAGAGCTAAGAGGCGATTCAGATTCACCCTCCTCAGATTCTTGTCATACATTTGCTCATGGTTACCTGGGTACCCTTGGTGAGTTCTCAATTTTAATTCCCCCATTTATAAAATGAAAATAATAACAAATGTGAGCCTCTCCAGACAATGAAGAGACATAACTGAAATACTAAAACTGGAATATAAAAAACTGAAACTGAAACACATATGAGATATTTGGTTGATATTCAAACATGTTTTCCATAATCATCAAAGCTTTAATAATTGTAGATTAATACCAGCCCTTGGTTCCTGTGCATGTAATACATCCTGATTGCCTTTTAAGAACACTGAAAGGGCAGAGTAGGTCTGGATGTAAAATTATTTTATCTGCAATTAAAATAAGAAAGCAGATTGTTGATTTCAAAGACCAGTAATAATAAAAAAATAATAATAAATACAAATTTCAATCCAGTAAGCCTGACTTAGAAGTCTCATTTCGGAAAGAGCAGTGACCCCTGCCCTGTCCCAATAGCTCCAAGCTAGTGTGAAGACTTGGCAAGGTAAGAATTAAGAATTGCCTTGAAGGCATGAAGGAGAGCCTTTCAGGACCTCATGCAAAACCATAAGGTAAGATGCACACCGTGCCACCATAAGTGTGGCATGTCACAGATCACTTCTCAGTATCAGAACTGTTCAAAAGTGGAAGAAATACTTTTTATTATTATTATTATTTTTATTAGCGTATGATACAATCTCAGTTCCCCTGGCAGCCTGCCTTACTGCCCACAAACTATCAGAAATTTGCAACACTTGCTGTGGTGTTATTCCCTAAGC